TTAAAATATTTTAAGCAGCTTATGGCTGACTTTTGTTAGTTCACATAACCTCTCCGTCTAAATGGATACTCTCATTTCCTCTTACTTGATATAATTAATGATATTTGCTTATATAGTCATTAGTTTCATTCACCATTCGATTTATTTTAAGGCCGCTACTGTCACTTTACAGAAAAAAGGGGAGATTCTTTTTTTTTGAGGAAATTAAAATTTATTCACATAGCTACGTATGTATGTAGAGGCCACAAGAACATTTATACTCAGCATACTAACGAGACTTCCTTCTCATTTACTTTACGTAATGTGACTTTTTCTGTCTACTCATGCCTATTTATGAGCCAAAATAGATGATGAACAGGGGTGTAAGTTATAGTATGGCAATGGAGGATGATGACTCGTGGACTTAAGAAGCTGTTTTAAGATGTCTTTTACCGTGCTAACTGGTGACTATCGACTAGATCTAGAATCTTAGATAGCTACAACCCTAAAACTTCAATCAACACCTCTTACACTAAGGTTCACATTTGCCCATATGTTGGAGTGTCAGTAGCTTTCTAATATTAATTAATAGTCATGTTTTTATATTCTCTATTATTCTCAAAAAATCTAGCATCATTTAATAGATAAAATCTCAAATTTTCAGTCATTTAAACTAAAAAGTTTTCCATAACGCGACATGACTTGTAAGAAATTTTCTCTCTCATACGGTTGGGCTAGTATGGAAAATATATTAAGGTGGCGAATATTTTCATAACAGTGGATAAAAGCATACATGGAAATGAGTGAGGCTTAATGTTAGTTTAAAGGAGTTTTTTTTGTAGTTTATTTCCGCTTCTTTTTCTGTTGTTTTTGTTGTGGTTTAATTTTTTGCCACCTTTTGAACGTACTTTTGATGCGAAATTTTTTGCATCTTTGTTTTTGCTAAACGCAATTTTGATGCAAAACAAATTTTGCATATTTGTTCTTCTAACGCACTTTTGACGCGATACGTTGCATATTTTTATTAAACGCAATTTTGATGCAAAAAGTTTTGCATCTTTTTTACTGAACGCACTTTTAACGCGAATAGTTTTGCATTTTTTCACTTTTGATGTGAAATTTTTTGGTTCATTTTTACTTTAATAACTTCAATTTGACCAGACTAATACCGGCTATCTGTTAACAGATTCAGCAAAACCTTTAAGAAAACCTAGTCTTCTCTAAAACTTCATCACAAGGACTAAAACAATCCTCAACTATATGTAGATATAAGAACACCCAACCAACCACCCACAAAATATTCACATATCATGCATACATGAAATTTTTTTTGTGCTGTGCTTACACAAAAATTCATTATTTACTGCCATTTCCATGAAGAGAGAGGAACCATAGCCATTTACCATTTGAGACAATGAGAAAGGCAAGTTGAAAGTGATAATTCATAATTTTTCCAAGCACATATAATACCCACACAGCTATAAACTCACATATTTGCATGTTCGTTCGCGCATAATTCTCCCTCATTGTTAATGTTAAATGGCATCAAGGAGAAGGCATTCATCCCCCATTACATCTGCAAGACACAATAGACTTTTTTGACTCTAAAACCGATTTTTTTTTCTTCTTCATTTGTATGATATGCGACTCTTCTTTGTGTATTGTTTTTTAGTCTCTGCAAATGAAAAAGGCTGAGTTTTTGTTCTGGAATAAGTAAGTAATAAGTAATAAAAATATCCTCGTATGTGATGCTTAAATAAATATTATTTTTTTGTGTCATTTGATGTCTATGTTTGGGTGGATTTTCATTTCCTTTTATATTTGAATGGGATTTTTGCTGTTTTTAAGGAAGGATTGGACACTATAATGTTTGGCTATTGATTAATTGAGTGCATTGCTTAGAAGTATGGCTGAGGGTACTTTTAAGAGATATCTTTAGAAAAAGATTGAGGACAACTATAAGATAATGATCCTTTGTGTTGCAGTTTAAAGCTGGCAATTTTTATCTTAGCCTGAGATGGTTTCTTGAGCTCTCAGTACAAAAGTCCGTACACAAGTCACAGTACATCGATGTGCCCCTAGTAGTACGTTTATTTTCAATTCTAAACTAGAATATGCCGAGTAGCCCTAGAAACTAGCTTTTATGAATGTCTGAACCTAATTCAATGTTGTCCAAGCTATTTGAGCCACGGCACACCTTAATGATCAAAGTCGCACATACATACGGCTCGCGTCAATTCCAAAAAATTTCTAAGACAAACCAGTGTGCCGCTGCACACAGCATGGACAGCACTGATCTAAACAATGACTAGCTAAAGACCAAATGACAAAGATACATCCTATCATCTATCTGACAAAACTTTAAAGTCATATCTGTAGCGTCTCTTACTCACCCTAGTGTCGTTATCTTCAAGTTAAGAATTTAATTCTAGTGTCTATTCCTTATTTAAATCATTTCACTTCCACCAACTACAAATGCAATGTTAAATGAAATTTATTTTTGTTGATTTTAATGAGAGAAATTTAGGGTTAAAAAACGTAATTTTTAAGCAAGCTAATTGGAAGATATGTGTTCAAGTGATATATTGAGATTTGAAACTAGATATCAAAAAATAAATAATTGTTAAAAAAAGGGTTGAGTTAACACTGATGAATTTTGGATGTGATTTAAAGATTTTAGAGATTAAATCAGTTTTTATAAAGTTGATTTTTTTTAAAAAATTTCTAAAATAAATTTTAATATTTTTAAACTTGAAGCCTTTGGAGCTTAAAATTGTCAAGAAACCAAGATTATATACGTTTTAAGTCCATTAATCCTGCAGCTGTCGATCACACGAGAGTCTCACTTAGGTAAAGATAAGCTCACAACAACAACAAAGTTAAAAAACAATAAAAATTAACCTTCAATAAGATTGTTCTTGAACTTATCAGCTAAACTTATCAGCTTGATTGGTCAAAAGCATTTTTCCTCATCTAGACTATTTTTAGACTTCCTCAATATAATCAATAAGTTGAATGAAATTTTTTTCTTATGAATGAATTGAGAAATATCGATTGACTGATAATGCAATTTAAAAATATACGAACGAATTGAATTTAAAGTTATCGAAAACCAGGATAAAGCAAGTACTTGAAAGTAAGTTTTTGACTCTAGCATTGGCTGCAATCTGACATTTTAGGTTCTTTGCTTATGCTGATCAAAAATGTGATCAAAATGATCAACTAAAGGCTCTATACTGAAACCATTTGAAAGGAATAAAAGTTCATTTGGACTAGGTTTGGACCGAATAGCGAACTTAAGTGGCTAGGTGGCGGAATGGTTTATTAATTTGACTGTGTGGTTCGAGACTTGGTATGGCAAATTTTTCTGTGTCCTTTTTTGAATCATATGTACTGAAAATGAGGCTCACCGCCTTTGTTTGTAGGCTACAGGTAGCAATGTCATCAAACGAGTGGTTCTGATCCTCCTTTAAACTGTAAGTCTAGATTTGGCGAAACCTCTCTCGTTAAACTTTCATTGCAACGCTTATAACACGCAGCTCTGAATCTAAAGCTCTGAGCAGTTAAAGTTTTCATATTGGTTCAAATAGCCACCTTGATAATTTTCGTGTCGCCCTTAAAATCCCCAAATATCATCAAAATTTCCTAAATCTAATCTTAAATTCCATTCTTCATTCATTTCATCCGCACGCTTTGCCAAAAAAAAATTCATTCATAAATCCAAGCCATCTTATCGCTCGTAGCAACGGCAATTGATATTATTTGTAGACAGTCTCGCTTTCAATTTAATGAATGGAAATTTTATTTCTGATAAACAAAAGTTTGAGTATGTTTTCTTCTTAAACTGGCGCTTTAAAGCTCTTATGTAATTAACAAGTGTGGAATCTCCTCTGATTAAAAAAAGGCAATAAAAATATAATCGAATGAGTATTAAAGGTATTAATAAACACATGCTGATAAGATAAAAATTTTGAAGAATCGAGAAACAAAATAAACGTGAGAAACTTTACAGGTACACACCTTAAAATAGCAATAAACTAGACTTAATCGAGATAAATCTGCTGATTGCTACTTTGGAATTGTTTTGTTGTTCCCAACAGTTTTAGTTATCAGAAAAGAAAATTTTGATTGTCGTACAATTGTTGCCTATTTTAAGTGGCGATTTCCTTAGTTTATTACAATCATTTTGAAAATTTTATTTATCAGATACTTTATAGGCTTATTTTTGAAGCATTTTGTTTGTTATTGAGTCCAGAATTCAAAGTTTAAATCTTTTATCTTTTTATGGGTTCTATATAATTCTTTATAATTAAACTTAATGTTATCAGATTGTGAGGATACTTAATTGGGCGGTTTATGGTTTAGGACAGGTTTGACATATCAGAACTTGGTGCTTATACTCTGTTTCAACAGATTTTATATAGGGTCCATACTACTCCTTAGGTATAGTATTTGAAGAAGCTATATGAACTTCGATTTCAGCGCATATGCTTCTAAGTCGATCCCGATGGACACTCTGAGTTTGGAGCAACATCAAATTTAGAGTTCCGAGTTATATGTACGTGAATCTGCCAATGTAAGAGTAAAGTCTCTGTGGTCAAGTTTCGCAATAGACACAAAATCTAGAATCTACTTTACTGAGGACGAGGGTTCAATTCCCAACAGGTACCGATCTCTCAAACGATTATATAGACTGCTGTTGATATGAAAGAAATTCGCACAATTCACGACTCTACAGATAAATTGTTCCATTTGCTAACCATTTGGAAGCTCCAAGAAGTTTGATGCTCATATATATTAAATACGGATCCCCTTACTTAATTTGTAGCGCTATGAAATGCTGCAATAATAAGGTTTGCTAAAAATTAATCAATTTACTATAAAGATCCTCAAGAAAAACTATCCAAATGCTGCACATTAAATATCCCCCAATTCTATAAAATTCATAAAGTTCAAAAAAACTTCAATTTTTCATTAAATCACATTAATTTTTTATTCATAAACTTAACAATCTTAAAAATAGCAATCCTTAACTCATAATTTTAATTGAGATGAATTAAAAAGCAACACATGTTGACGAATCACCAGGCACACAAGCTCTTATGCTCTGTTCGAAAATTTGTCCTTCTGCACAGTCGAACCAAACTGGTGTGTTAAGCATGCACATGTAAAATCTGGCACAGTTTTCTGGATGAATTCCGAATCTTAGCAATTCATCCTCGCAGTTTGGTTCAAATTGTGAATTTTGTGCTGAAGCGATTGCGACGATGAGAGCGATGAGGATAAAGAAGAGAGCTGTTGAGTAAAAAAAGGATTGAATTTTTTTAAAAAAAGATTTTTATGAATTTTAAAAATAATTTTAAAAGTTTAAAATTTTTATCCTTTAAATTTGAAAAACAAAATTTCAATAAATTTTAAATCTATTTCTTGTCATAAATTAAATTTGAATTGAAACTCATGTTAAATTCTCAATTGATATTGAAAAATTTCACTTTAATTTCTTACTTTTCATTTTGAGTTATTTTAGCTTTTTTAGACTTGAATGATTCGACTACAAAACAAGGAATTAGACTGATGGTTGTTCCCTAAAAATTTCAGTAATTTATATTGAACCTAATCTTATCGAAATATTTGATAAAAAGAATAATTTAAAATCTCGTATTTTTGACTTCTACTCATTGGTTTGGTCTGCGATAAGTGAGGTTCTGAAAATAAATTTAACGAGAATTGTTTTGATAATGAATAATAATTTTAATTTTTTGATTACTTCTCAGTAACTTGTTAATATAATGAATTCCTAGTAGAATGTACTTAAGGTTTGGAGGTTGTTATCTTGTAAGTGCAATATCTTAACTTATTTGAAGTTCTAGGAATGTCAGACATTAAGTATCAATCTTAATAATTGCTCTTCAGATGTTCCCTAACTTGTTCTTATTTGCCACAATCTTATCATTAGCTATATTAAAGGTTTTTCCATTTAATTCATAATGTTTAATCCACAAAATGTTCTTACTTGACTCTTCAATCTTATCAATTTCCCATTCTTTTAATCCTATTTAAATCTAAGTTAATCTTTTATCTTTCAAAATATTTCAAATCTTTATTATTTAAAGTTTAGCTTTTGAATAGTTTTTAGGATTTTATGCTAAAGTAGCTCAATGGTGGAAAGGTTTAGTACTTCGGTACCTAATTATTGCAACACCAATACAGCGATCATGGGTTCGAGACTCGGTATGGGAAATTTTTCGCTTGTCCTTTTTCGAATCATATGTACTGGAAATGAAGCTTTCAGCCTTCCTTTGTAGCCTACAGACATTAAAGTCATCAAAGGAATGGTTCGGATCCCACATTAAATTGTAGGTCTAGGTTTGAGTGCAGGGATTTGGCGCATAAACTCAGCAAATCGCTTTAGTTTACGTCTGAATCAGAATTGATCTGAAAAGGCAAAAGTTTTTTATGCTTAAAAAAGCTTTGTTATCTCGACAGTCAAGCTGATTTCCTGTCTTATTTCAATTGTAATTAAAAATCATGAATTGATACAATTTCTGAGTGAATTTTCAAGTGCATTAAGTATTGAAAATGTGAACTTGAAAACCCAAGTTTTTCTATAATTGTGTGAAGATAATTTTCCTGTAGATTGGCTTTGTAGGTTGGAATCTGCAAGGAAAAAGACATGTCCATGAGCTCCAAAAGCTACTTTTTTTTTGAATTTTTTTTTTTGACTTGGCGCAGTGATGAAGGAATGTCAGCAAAATATGTGGACAGACAAATTTTATGAACTTAGTGACAAAGCCTGCAACAGAGTCAGATGGAAAGACTTTTGATGTAAATTAAGTTCTATATAGAAACATGGTTACTAGGCGCGTAGCCAGGAGGGTCTTGCACACCCCTAAACGTTTTGAACTGCAGCGAGAGCACGGCCTAAAACGCTTAAGAGGGGGACAAGACCCTCCTGGCTACGCGCCTGATGATTATTGTAAGTAAGTAGGCCCAATAAATTACTATAACCATAAAAAAATTAAATAATTTTGATTATCAATATTCGAAAGATTTCCTAAATTCCCAAGCATACATCCCCTTCTACCCTCACAAATTTGTTTATTCATACGAGGACAATTTTAATGGTCTATGCATGAATATAAAATATGTTTTCCATTCTGGTTGCGATTCCATCATTTATTTATTTTACATTATCATTTATTTTCTTGTCTTGAAAATGAAAAAGGAAAAAATTTCTGCTATTTCATTGTGTGATTTTCTCCTTTCGTTTCCACTATTTTTGCTTTGATGAATGTGTGGATGGTGGATCTGAAAGTAGCGGTTCCAATGATGATAATGTTATAAAGTCCTAGCTTAGCTATGAGATTAGTATAATTTACTAGGGTCCAGATCAATATTTTTTAAAATTTATGGGTTTTAGACAAGACTTCTTAATGGAATCGTAGTTTCCTAGTTTCAGCTCAGTATAGTTACAATGCCTTACACAATATAAAACTCTCGAAACTCAAGACCCCCCAAAATAAAAAAAAAAGAACTCCTTTAAAATGAACACTTAAAAATATGAATAATAAAATCCACACATCTACACACACTCACAATATGTAGACATTAAAAGCGGAAATTCTAATGGCGAATATGTTGAGAGAATGATGATGATGATCATTTATATTACGTAAAATGGAAAAATTATATTTCTATTCTATTGAGAACATAATAATAGTAATGAATAGGGAAGTAGCATATACACGAAATATGAAAATTCCTTTTTATATCCACAACAACTAAAGCAGCAGCAGCAGCAGTAAAGAAAAATGAAAGAATCATTCTTGAAGTAGTCATGGTCTCATACCAGTCCTACAAAAATTTGTATTGTTATTTCAAAGTTCCATTTCCATCTTTTCTATCCTTTTACTTTTTTATTTCATAAATAGAATTTCCACATATATGGAATATTTTTCCGCGCATTCATATGTCAGGAAAGGATTAATATTCGTAGGAAATTTATATCCTTTAATAGGCATCGTACACTGCATTGTGAGTGAATTCTTTGCTGAGCTTGATTTTTTTGGACTATGTTGTAAGGTTATGCAGATTGACTGGCTGTCATGATATGGAAGAATGTCTAAAAAAAATTATTTTGAATTCTTGAATTGTGCTGGGATTAGAGAATAGATTATGACAGCAGCTTATCGAGAGTGAAAGGGCGGGTTTGAACCGAACTGTCTCACGAGTCTGATTTTAATCGAAACTGATCGTCTCCTTTATTTTCTAGTGGTCTATGTCTATAAAGTTCATGTTTCTGCTGCAACTTGCTCTTGTGCCACTAAGACCATTACATTAGTCAAAGCTGAGCTTCAACATAGTCAAATCTGAGCTTCTATAAAGTCAATGCTGTGCTTCAATATAGTTTAAGCTGAGCTTCAATAAAGTCAAAGCTGAGCTTCAACATAGTCAAATCTGAGCTTCAATAAAGTCAATGCTGTGCTTCAATATAGTCTAAGCTGAGCTTCAATAAAGTTAAAGCTGAGCTTCAAAATAGTCAAAGCTGAGCTTCAATATAGTCAAAACTGAGCTTCAATATAGTCAAAGCTGAGCTTCAATATAGTCAATGCTGTGCTTCAATATAGCCTAAGCTGAGCTTCAATAAAGTCAAAGCTGAGCTCCAATATAGTCAAAGCTAAGCTTCAATAAAGTCAAAGCTGAGCTTCAATAAAGTCAATTCTGTGCTTCAATATAGTCTAAGCTAAGCTTCAATATAGTCAGAGCTGAGCTTCAATAAAGTCTAAGCTGAGCTTCAAAATAGTCAAAGCTGAGCATCAATATGTTCAAAGCTGACCTGCGACATATTTATAATTGACCAGCTCTATCTACTTAAATAACCACAAATCTAGTAAACGTCATGTTTCTGCTGCATTTCTCTCTTGTATTACTAAAAACATTACCTTCGCTAAATGCGCTTTAGTCACACCACAAAAATACATCTCCGTGACTTTTCTACCATCCACCGTTATACGATTGTGCAAATAATAGATGTGCTCTTCCACTCGGTTCCACAAACGCTTTATTTCCGTTTCATGAATCTCATTCAGTGTCTGCGATTTTTCATAGATGCAGGAAAAAAAAACAGTAGAAAGCAGTCAGGAAAAGTAAAAGGCAATTTGAGATATGAGGTGGTTGTGAAATTCCTTTTCATGTGTATGAATAAGAGACGGTCGACGCTGACTATTATGATGTTAGATATTCACTTCAAAATAAAAATAATTATTCCATGCATCGTAGATGCAATAAAAAATATTTTTCGAGTCGAGACGATGCAATGAGACATGAATGAGGAAATGGCATAAATTCATTTTAGCAATGGCGAGTTTTATGTTTTTAATTTTAATGGCACATAAAAGTGCTTTTTTCAGCACGCTGCATTCATACGTACATTAATTAAAATATTTGTGTTGACTATGAATTGGCACTTGATGGAAGGAGTTTTGGCTGAATTTTTTTTTGGTTGTGATGTTTTCATTGGATTTTGATGGAGTTGACAATTTGACTATTAAGAAGGGTTTCATTTTTGACAAGTGTGCTGATTTGCATTCGTCCAAAGCTAATCTGCACTTAAGTAAAAGCTGAGCTTCAATAAAGTCGAAGCTGAGCTTCAATATAGTCGAAGCTGAGCTTCAATATAGTCAAAGCTGAGCTTCAATATAGTCAAAGCTGAGCTTCAATATAGTCTAAGCTGAGCTTCAATAAAGTCAAAGCTGAGCGTCGCTAAAGTCAGAGCTGAGCTGCAATAATAACAAAGCTAAGCTGCAATATAGTCAAAATTGATATGTTTACAGCTCTATATACTCAAATAAAAACCAACCTTCTCCTTACTTGCCTTAAAAATCTTCAGTCACCGATTGAAGTCACAAAAAACTCTTCATTTTTTTGTTTTAATTGCAGCTCTCCATGACAGCATTCTGTGTTGATTTCCTGCTTCTTTTTTCACCCTTTACTTCAAAATTTCTCGCTTCTAGCGTCCTTCTTCTTATTTCATCCCGTAATTGAATAAATTATTCATCAGACAGTGACATAAAGTGGCTCTTAAAATATGCACGAAAATTTTGTGCATTTTTTAAAATCTTGCAATACAAAAAACAGATTTTTTGACAAGCTGAGGAACTGATTCACAGTCCAGATGTTATTGGATCAAATCAAGGACTAAACATGAAAATTGTGGACGGATTTCCAGCAACGAGTTTTTCATTTTTACCTGAAAAACTGTCAGAAACATTTCATGCATGCAGGAAGCATATGGACATATGTAATATGGAAATGAGAAGCTAGCAGGTAGACGAAATATAATCTCGTCCAGGACATTAAACAAAACTGAGCGACATTTTGTTATGGAACGATATTAAAATATCAGAATTGACTATAAAAGTTTATGTATGTGTGGATGTAATGTCGCTTGGCATCAAGGAAAAGGGTCAAACAATATTTTATGTTCTGTTAAAGAAATAAAGAAGGATTGATGATGATGAGGATAAAAAAAGGGGTCGAAGGGTTTAATTATAGTTCCCTTGA